TATAATATTTAATCATTGTATAATTATAGATACTTTATTTACTTATTAAATATCTTTTATGTTCACTATTATAATAAGAATATTTATTGTCTTCTTCATCAAAACTAACAGATCAAATTAATCCAGTATTTCTTTAATTTCAATACCATAATTTTCTTCTTTCTCCATTACATTATGATTAGTATAATTTAAAATGAACTATTATTACCATTATCAGGGTATTAATCTGAAATTACTGTTCCTGATAATAACATTAACCAAGTTTAATATTTTTAAATGTAATATGTTCTTTATTCTTTGTATTTAAATCACTACGAGTATTTATTTAAATAGTACAAGATTAAATAACAAACAAATAATATGCTCATTAGTTTTACTCACACTTATCTCTTTCATTTCATTATTATTAATCACTCTTCTTATTTCTCTATTTTCATTATTTACATAAAACATTTACATCAGTTCTATTCATTTTATTAACATTTTCTTTTTTAGTTAATATTAGATAATCAAAATATGACATAACAATTAGAAATGATATAGACATTATTTTATACTATTTACTATTATAGCATTGCTTTATGTAAGAAAGATTACTTATACTCAATGAATACAAAAAATAAAAAGATTATTTTATTTTAAAATTGAGGAAAAGTTTCAAAAATAATGAATAAGATGAACTAAAAAATGAATAATTGAACTATTTAATTGAAGATAGTAGATCATCAAATTATAGAAGAAGAGAAATGAAACAACTTGATATGGTTTATTTAATGAAAGTAGCACTTCATGTCAAAGACATGAATGACATTCAAAACATTGAAATGATTAACAAGAAATGTGGAATTGCAATTAACTCATTGAAAGTTAATCCATGGTTCACATCAGAAAGAGATATTAATAAGTTTTGTAACATATTTAATCCACCAACATGTAATTGTAATTTACTTCCTGTTGATGAATCAGTACTAATGAAAGTTGAGAATATTAGAAATTATGAATTAGGCAGTTTCTGTCGCACATTAAAAATAGTAAATGCAAACAATCAGTTTGATCCACAATATCGAAAAATGACAGAAGAAGAAAAGGAGCGAATGGCTAAAATTATTCAAAAAGTTGAATCAATGACATGTTTTTCAAATATTGTGAAAGAAATGATGGAAGTGGTTGTTCAAAATATGAAGAAAGGAATTAAAATAAGAATCAACGAAATTTGTGCTGAGCAATTTGATGAAATCTTTGATAAAATGAAAATAGAAGAATCAATGTATCCAAGCGAAATGATAATTTATGGAAGAATAAATAACAATTGGATTAAGGCTAGAGAGAATAAAAACATTATTATCATTTGTGAAACAAGAGGTCTCATTGAACAAGAAAGCGAAATAAGTATACCAAAAGGTATTACAATTTATTCTTCAAATATTCTTTTGGTGAAACCAAATAATGAAACAAATATTAAATTTGTTAGATCACCAAGTGATTCATTATTTTCAAATGTAAAAGTAAATGTATTTAGTCAACCCAGATTTAATGATATGCCTAGTGTTACAGTGAGTATAGAAGATATTATTAATGAAGAGAATAGAAAGAAGGTTTATAAGATTCTTGATGATCTTTATGTTAATTCTATTTTATTTACCCCTCCAAATCAACAAACAACTAGAAATAGTACCAACTCACTACAGAATAAAATACCACAATTACCTGAATATATCAAATACATTTGTCTTCAAGCAAGAATGCCAAATTTAATAATCGATGACAAACAATTGGAGTATTTAGAAGTAGGTGTGTGTAACTCAATTATCGAACTTAAATCAATAAACAATTTAAAAAAGTTAAAACTACATGGAGTTAATGAAATAAAGATAAATCAAATGAACGAAGAACAAGAAATTACAACAACAAACAACAGAAAATACTGGAAAGACATACAAGAAAATATAGGCACATTCCCAAATCTTGAAGAACTTCAATTGAGCTATTGCTCTAATTTAAATATTAGTTTAATATCAAATAAATTGAGGAGTGTTAAAGTGGTTGAATGTAGAGATTGTCAAATTAATATTAAATCAGATTGTATTGAAAGAGTGAAATTAGAAAGAAATAAACAAACACAATTCAAATTATCAACAAATAAATCAAGTAATATTTGTATTAAAGAATGTAAAAAATTCACATTGGAAATAGAATCTGATAATGAACAAAATATTGAAATATTAAGAGGAAGCCAGATTAATGTAAAATCAAAATGTCCAATTAATAAATTAATAATAGTAGAATCTTATGAAGTTAGTATTAGAGGAAATGAAAAATGTAATACAATGAAAGTAATTGAATCTATAATCAAGGAAATTGACAGTAAACCAAAAAGAATTATATTTAAATTAATTAAAGAATACATTAAAGTACCTCTGAAAGAAGCAGAAGAGATATATATTGTATCAATGAAAGATTATATCTTTGAAGAATTATTTGATAAATGTAAGAAATTATGTATTGATGAATGTGAGAATTGTCAATTCATAATCAACAAGAATCAAATCAAAGAAATGAAAATAACAAAATGTAAAAACACAGAAATCACAGGGAAGTTAGATAATATTGAAGAAATCATCACAATAGATAATGAAGAATGTAATATTCCAGAAACAAAGAAAGTTATAAAAGAAGATACAGAAATAATAGAAATAAATAATACAAATAAAGATATAGAAATAGAAACAGATAAAACCCATATTATAATAAGAAATATTCATGAACGTAATATTAAAATTAAAAGTAATATTAACAGTGATGTTACAATAGAAAATTGTAAAAATATCACACTTGAAGGAGAATATGAACACTATGGAACTATTCAATTCATTAATTGTAAGAGTAATAAAGAAACTGGATTTAATAATCAAGATAATAGATCAACAATAGGATATGCTAGATCAATATCAATTAATAAATGTGAGAACATTGATTTTGAAATTTATGGCACTAAAAAGTTATTAGAAGTTATTGATAGTAAAGTGCGTATTTCAGTAAGGTCATGTTCTCATAATAAACTAAGCATTGACACAATACATATTGAAAACTCTGAGTTATATAATTTTGATTCATATTTATCATGTAACAAAGCAATTTTAAATAACAGTACTGGAGTAAACGAAATCATTCACCAATGTGAAGAAGAACTTATAATGAAAAGAATAAATGAAACGCAATTCATGTTAGACCATTTTTTAAAGAAAGTTGAAATGGAAGAATGTAGTGGAATTGATATTAAGGATGATGTTAAAGGAAAAGAAGTTAAAATGATAAGATGTCATAATATGAAGATAATTGATACATCAAATTCAATCAACCAGATTGAATGTGATAATATTGAAGTAATAACAGAACAACAAAACAGAATGATGGGAGGATTTGGAATGATGGGAGGATTTCCTCATAATAATATGCCAATGAGAGGATTTGGAGGTGGTAATAATATTCCAATGGGAGGATTTATTCCTGATAATATGCCAATGGGGGAGGATTTGGAGATAGATTCGGTATTTAGTGAAGAAAGTAATGATGATGAATAACTTGATTCATTTTTGATAAATTTGATTGATTAAAATAAAAGATTTAACAAATAATAAACAATGTTATGATTGGTGAATGATAAATGATATTCAATAAATAAAATCAAATTCAAAATAACTCTTCATCAATAATTCATTTATTGATATAATAAGTTAAACATAATAAAGTTTATCATCAACAAAAATACAATTCAATTATTAATGTAATAACACTTATCTTCATTGATAAAGAGAATAAAGAAATTAAATGTTTATAATGATGATTAAACTAGAGTATGAGAACAAAAGAATAAAAAGAAAGAATGTTAATTAATAGATTGTAAATGTTCTACACCAACTTGCTTTCCAAAATTAATAGCCTTTTCTTGTTTCTTTATGTCTTTCTCAACAATACCTTCTCAATCACATCCAACCATATATAACTCATTATATGCAATATGATACAAGTTAGCAGTTTCTTTAATTGCATAAGAACCTCTTTCACAAAAACTCTCTTGAACATCAGCACAATTCACTATACATACAAATCTTTTATGTTTAAACATTGGAGTAAGTTTTTGCTTTAATCCATTATTATCCCAATCATATGAAGGAATAAAACAATCTAACAATGAATTATATACAATACTTTAAAATTATATAAAATCATATTAAAATGATAAAAACAGAATTATAAGATAAACTAAGCATAATTAAGAACTGTGAAATATTTAATATTCTAATATCACTGTTTTGTCTTCTTCATTTCAAATAAATAATAATGAATAAAAATCATTTCATTTCAATTACAATGATTCGTTGTGGTATGAAATATTCTGGATATTGTTTTATATGAAAATGAAGATTGGTCACAAAGTGTTTTTGTTTTATCATTTTCTTTATGAACAGTAATATCACATTATCCATACCTAAACAAATAACCACTGATTGATTAAATAAATAAAATGCACACTGTGGTTGATTAATATCAAATTTCATCATTCCTTTTATTCTTCTTTTTGATTCTAATGAAAATAAAAATGATTTTGGATCATTTATATAATCTTCAACTTTGTCAATTTTCTCATTAATATATCCTCCAAATTTATTTCCATCTTCATCTTCAATAATAATTATTATATGTTCTTTATTTATTATTCTTTGATTAAATACTGATGTATTAACATTCCGATTATCAGTATCTGAATTAAATAATATATTGGATACTTTTCTATTTGTCCATTTTTCTTTCTGTCCATTTTTCTAGTTGGTGGTTTTTACTTCTTTTGTTATAATATAACTTCTTTTATCACTCATGATCGTAGGGTTATCAGTTATTTTATTTCTTGATTCATTTAACAATTTTCTTTGTTTTTCAAGTTGAACCAAATACTCTCCTATTTCTTCTTCTATTATTCCTCTAATTAATTCCCCATTTGCTTGGTTTTGTGTTGAAAATTTTCAGGAATGTCTTCTATCATTACATTATGAATAAACATCGGTGAAGTGTTTGTTTCAATTTGGTTTCAATTGTAATCTTTTGTTAATTGGTTCATTTTCTTTTTTTGCTTGTTCCTTCTCTTATCTTTTCAACAGTTATTGTTTTAACCACTTTACTTGGTCTTTTATTTTTCTACAATTTCGTCCTTTGCATGTAACACCATCACAGACATTTTTATTTCATTCATTATATTTTGGATTTGATGGACCATTTATTCTACTCATCTAACAGTTTATTGACTCCTCCAATGTACTTGTTTAAGTGTTTAGATATTAATATCTCTATTTCATGTGAATGTATTCCTAAATTCTCATTATCAAAACTCTTGAAAATATTTAAACTGCTGTTATTCTGTTGATGTTCCGTTATGCTCATTAACGTATTACTGAGAGACATAAGTATAAATTAAATAGAGAAGTGCTAAATGTAAAATTACAGTTTTTTATTTTAACAACAAACTCAATTTTAAATAATCATTTTAATTTCAACTTTATGTTCATTCTTATTTATAGATTTTTCTTATTTTTTCTAAATTTCTTTTTTCTTATTTTATTTTATCTTCTTTATTTTATTTTATTTTGTATGTTCAACTATGAAGATCCTTTTATCAATTCAGAATATACATCATATTTTGTTGTCATGCTTATTGAGTAATGGAATAGATTCTTGTAAAGAAAATCAAACAACAAACAGGTATTCATGCTCAAAGAAAAGAAAGATGAAATAACAATAAAATACATAATAATTATGATAAAAGAAATAACAAGAGAAAAGTGAATAGAAAAAGAAGAACACAAAGAAAAACAAATAAAAAACAAGGCAAATATGATGATAATAAACATTATACAAATAATAAATATAAATTATTAACAATAAATGAAATTGAAATAAAAATTAAAATAATAAGAAGTAAAATTAAGAATGAGAATAATCAGAAATACTTAAAAAATAAGAAGATAAAGAAAATGTATAATATTCTCCAAGAAGTATATTCAATAAGAAAGAAGAAAATAATAGAGAAAATCAAAGAAGAGTTCAAATAGAAAACAAAATAAATGAAGAAGATATTAAAATAAATGAAAAATAAAATAAATAAAAACACAAGATAAAGAATAAGAATATAACAAATAATAAATTAACATTCTTCAAAATAAAATTAAAGAAATAGAAGAAACTATTAAAGAACTTCAAACAAAAAAAAGAAAGAAGAAGAACGAACCATCTCAAATGAAATGATTCAAATAACACGAGACACAATTAGAAAAGAGATTGAAGAAGAAATAGAAAAGATGAAAACATAAATAAACAATATTCAAAACACATGTAATGAATAAGAAAAGAAAACTCTAAATTAAAATAATAAAACATTTCATTACAATTTAAATAAATGAAATAAAATATAAATAACACAGAAATATGAAATAAAGATGAAATCACCAACATTCTTTGAGTTAATTGTGAGAAGTTAAATAATGATAAAATGAAGGATGATGATATGGAGAAGAACATAAGAAATAAATAAAAACAAATCATTGAATATCAAAAAGTTGGATTGAAAAATATGAGATTGCAGAAATAACAAGAAAAGAATTAAACAATACAAATAGAAAATGAAGAATAAAATCAAATAATATCAAACATCATCATTTTATTATTTATTTTTTATTTCAGAAATAAAGAAGAAGAAAACAATGATATTAATGATAAATACACAACAAATACTGAGAACATCATCATCATAGACAATATAAATGAACAAAACTACCCCTATGAAAAAGACAATATTAGAAATAAAATAACAAAACACTGAATATCAAAAAACAAGAAATAATAATCAATCAATAATAAAAGAAAACACAATAAATCAAACAAATAAAATTTTAATTGATGTATTGTTTTGCAATTAATTTGTTAAATAAGAAATTAAATAATAAATTAAGAAATGAATAAATAGAAAATATAATAAAAATAATAAACAAGAAATTAAATAATGATAAAGAATACATTAATAATATTAAAATATCACATAAAATAAAAGAAACAACTAAAAGATATATATTAAAATGAAAGTGAACTCAATCATAGAAAAAAGAGTGTAATTCAATAATAAAAAAACATCAATATGAAAAATAACACTACTGATATTGATAATGAGTATCTTAATATTATCATCATTCAAGTTAAAGAAATGGAAATAAATTAAATCATAATTTAGAATGAAAGATACAGAAATTATGATAATATCATCACATTGGATGATTTAAATCTAAGAATGATGAAAATAACTAGAAATCATCATGAATTGATATTATATATTTTATTAAATGAAGAGAATATCATTATCAAGAGAATATATTCTTAATATATTTAATGAATAGTTAAATTTCAATGAAATCAACAAATTAAATATGGTAAATTGAAGAATTATATTAAACAACAAATGAAGTGATATGAATGATGTTATTAATTAACATCATATCAATTGTATAAATGTAATTATGAAATATTTATATCATTATTAAAACATAATATTCATAATAGAATTAATATGAATAATGAATCATTAAAATTAATAAAAATCAAATATAATGTAAATTATAATTTCTTGATGATCAATAATTAATAATTATATATTATATATCAAATCATCATAAATAAGATAAATATACAAAATATATAGATTCATATTATGATATTAATAAATTATATGAATCAGTGAATCATGAATAAATAATATAAATATTAAAATAATTTAATATAGAATGAATCAACATAGATAATATATAAAATATGATGAATATAATGAATATAATCATATGACATAAATATAATGAATATAAATAATATATTAAAATGATAAAGTTTACATTATGATTCATTATCATCTTTATTATCAAAATGAATTTATCAAATCAATGAATATAAGTTCAATAATATAAATCATACATTATATAATAAAGAAATGATAATAATTATAAAAAAATAATGAATAAATGAGAATGATCAACAAATAAATTAAATCAATAATAAATTGAATAAAGAAATGAAAGAAAATAAAACAAGAAATAAAGAATATTAATCAAATACTATCTTGAAACGAAAATATCACAATAATTGAAATAGATGAAATGTTAAACATTTAAATATACGATATTCAGAGGAAATTAATAATATATTTAATTATAAAATCATCAAATAAAAGATAATGATGAAAGATGATGAAATAAATTATGAAGAAAGTAGTAATATAAGATATATTACAATAATTAATACTGAATTAATCAATATCTTCAGATATTCAACATCAGTAATAAAATAGAATGTAAATTATATAAAATTGAAATCGAGATGATAAAATAAATAATAAATACAAAATACATTAATGTTGGTAATTCCAAATACAATCTATATATCAATATAAATGAAAAATGAATAATAAACATAAATAATGATTATGATAATGAAATAATTAGAATAGTGATGTAATATTGTATAAGCATAAAATAATAAATAATATATAGATAGATGATATTGAAAGAAATGAATAATGAATATAAATAAAAAAATAATAAAACATAAAATCAAAGAAATAGAAATAGAATAAATAATAAAAGAAATGATTGAAAATAAAAATAAATAATAAAAATAAAATAATGATAAACAAATATATCAATAAATTGAAATCAAATAAATAGATATTTTAGAAGATTGATTGAATCAAAATTTATAGATAAAACTACTACAATCAATACATTGAAGTCAATCAATATTAAAAAGAATATATTTCTCCAATTAACTAAAATACAAGATGGAGTAATATTCAATATGCACAAAAAAGATAAAATATTAAAAAATGAATAAAATACTATCCATTTGTAAATACAATATATCAACAATAGAACATATTCTATTATCTTGTATTTGTCATAAAAAAATCACAAAATGAGAAACATGACAATATTAGTATTATCATATTAGATAATTAGAAAATACACATGAAATAATCAATATAAGAAATCAACATATAAAAGAATGTTCTAATGCAATGACATCACTATGATATGAATAAACAAATAATATCAAAAAGTGATTAATAATATCATAAAATATCAGATATATATGTAATAAAAAAAAATAAAACATGTATATTATTTGATATGAACATTATTGTTGTATATCATATATTAATGGAATATTTGAATAAAAGAAATAAGTATAAATAAATGAAGAAATAATAATTAAAATAGAGAAATTAAAAGATGTTAAAATAAATACAGTAATAATTTCAATAAATTAATTAATAAATGTAGAAAGTATTAAATTAATTAAACAATTAAAAATTGAAATTGACATCATAAAAGAAATTAAAAACTATGTAATTAAGAACATGATGGATTTATGAAACAGTGCGCCTACGATAATAGAGTATATGTGGTTGAATTACATGATGAAGATTCATTGATAAGATTAATCTCCATTGAATAACAAATAATAAATACAAATTCTATTATTATTTATTTGTTCTTTATTTAGTTCTTTTTCATTGTATAAGTTATTTCTCATGTTATTATAATTTTGATGATGTTTTTATTGGACAATAATTATTTTTATTTATTATTTCTTCTGGTAAATTTTTAACCTCACCATTTTAAGATGAAATAATTTTATTTTCTTTGTACTTCTTAATACAATATAATACAATATTTATTTATGCACCTAATCATTTTGGATATTTTTTCGATTGTACATTACATTCATTACTGATATAGTGAATAGTTTTTTCATTCGTTTATTTTTAAACCAATAATTAACGATGAGATTTTACTGATAAAAAAAAAGAAATAATTAACCAGATTCAAAAGAAATGAATATTTTTACGATGCAAAAGATTTATAGTATTTTTATTAAATAAAAAAATTTGATGAAATAAAAGAATTAAATAATTCCATACCAAAATACTTTGTCTTTGTGTTTTAAAGAAAATGAATAAACAGCGTTCAAACAATTAGTTTTGTTTTGTTAGAGAAATACTATTAGAATGTTAAAGACAGTAAGGGTAAAGATAAATGAATCAAAATTTATTAAAATTTTTTTGAGTTTATACGACATTTTCGTTCAAAAAGAAAAAGAAATAACATAATAATAGCCAATAACCTTTTTTTAAAATAATGAATTACCAACCAATTCTTTCTTTATTGACATTTCGTTTTTTAACAAACAAAAAAATAACCAATCAATGAGAGCTTTTCGAAGAATAAGTTTTTATGAAAAAGGAGAACATCTGAAAAAAAGAATAAATAGATGATAAAGAAGAATAAAGGTATTGGAGGGAAGAAAAGTAATTTACAATTATCAGGAGATAGTTTATTAACAAAAACACTTTATGTTCATATAGATGGAGTGTTAATAATAAATAAAGAAGTTTGTGGTTATTTAAAGAGTAAAAAAAAAAAGAATAAATAAATTCTTTCAATTCATTTTGACTTTTATATTTTAATGTAGTTATTGTTTAGAGATATTAGTCAGTAATTCGATAAAATTCAAATACTAATGAAATAGGAACCAATAAGTTCAAATTCAACAGTTAATTATCTAAAAATATTAAAGAAAGTTGATCCAACACTTGATATTTCAGCATTAACAAAACTTAAAGCAATAACAATACCAGCTACACCAAAATATAATGAAGAAAAAGATAATTTGAATCATGACTTAATATTATATTCTGATGCTATTATTGAATCACCTAAATGTTTAACGTTTGTTAATTATTAAATAAATAAAGAAAAAGAAGAAATAAAACAGAAATAATAAAATAGTCCAAGTAAATGTAAAAAATCACAAACAAAATATAAAATTATTAATTTACTTGGTCAAGGATCATTTGGTCAAGTTGTTAAATGTTTAGATTTAACTACTAATCAATTTGTTGCATTAAAAGTATTAAGAAATAGACCAGCATATTTTAGACAAGGAATGTTAGAAATAGCTGTTTTACAATTATTAAATGAAAAATTTGATATTGATGGTAAAGGAAATACAATAAGATTATTTGATCATTTTTTATATTGTAATCATGTTTGTATTGTAACTGAATTATTAGGAATAAATATTTATGAATTAATGAAACAAAATGGATGTCGAGGATTTGGGTTAAATGTTTCAAGAACATTTTTAAGTCAAATATTAGAGTCATTAAATATTCTTTATAATAGTAATATAATTCATTGTGATTTAAAACCAGAAAATGTATTATTAATAGAGTTTGTTTCTTTAAAATAACTGAATTAAAACATATTCATTTTTTAGTTATACAAAACAAATTAAATTAATTGATTTTGGTTCTGCATGTTTTGAAAATAATACTTTATATACCTATATTCAATCTAGACATTATAGAGCACCAGAAGTTATTTTAGGTTTACCTTATTCTACTTCTATTGATATGTGGTCATTAGGTTGTATTGCTGCAGAATTTTTCCTTGGAATACCAATATTTCCAGGAAATAGTGAATATAATCAATTGTATAAAATTATTTCAATGATTGGTCCTCCACCAACTGAATTACTTGAAACTGCCACAAAATCAACAAAGTATTTTAGAAAAAGAAAAGGGTTAAATGGAAGAATTATTTACGAATTTAAAACAAAAAGTGAATTTGAATATGACAATAATGTTATTATTGAATCTAATAAAGATTATTTCGATTATACTTCTTTAGAAGACTTTTGTAATAGAGTTCCTCTTCGTGTCTCTGCTAGAGATGAATCAAGAAAATTAGAATATAGAAAAGCCTTTTATGATTTCCTTAAAAGAATCCTTGTTTGGAATCCTCATCATCGTCTTCGTCCTATACAAGCTTTACATCACCCTTTTATTACAAGAGAATTATTTAATGGTTCATTTGAAATTCCTCGTTGTGTTTCTCCTTTAAGAGAACATCCACCATCATCAATTCAAAGTATTGACGATACGTTATTGGCATTATATCCTAATCCAGTCATTGCACAATCACAAAAAGTACGTTCTTTTTCGCCAACAAGTTATTATGAACTATACTTAAATGCTCTTAATAATGGTATTGTATTAAGTATTCAAAGCTCTAATCCATTTTCTCACGTTCCAATGACACCACCTGTTCTTGAACAAATGATTGCTGATCAAAAACTAAAAGAACATTATGACCAAATGAGAAGAAATGCTAGTTCTGTTGATACAATAAAAAAGTTTTCAGACGAATTAGTTGTTCAACAATATGAAGATATAAATACTCAATCACCAAATCCTATCGACAAAGAAAAACACAAAACAAAAAGAATTATCACTGGTTTTAGATCAGATGATATTGCAACAAGTGTTGGAAGTACTTCTTTCATTGGAAACCATAAAATTAATCAAGGCTCAATGGAATATAATTCTGAAATTGCTAAAAGTTGGAGTAAAACAACTGAGATGCGTATCCCTGGTTCAACAAGTGATGACAATGTTATTAACCAAATAGAAGTAGGTCATATTCTTAACAATGTCAATGGCTCACCAACTGAACATGACCTAAAGAAAGCTCAGATGAAAGAAAAAAGAAAAACTTCGCAACTAGATCATGAAATCAATGAAGAAGAAATAAAATAATTTGAATTACCTCAACATGATGTTTTAACTGTGAATTGAACAATTTCTTTTATTTTGGTTTAATTCATAAAATCATATAAAAAGAAGTGATTTATGATAAAAGAATATAAAAGTATTAAGAATCAATAACAAAAGAATGAAAAATTTATATCATCAAGAAATCTAATGATTAAAGAATGAATGAAAATAAATATTAATTCATTACAATACACACAAAGCAGTTCATTGTTTTAGAAGTTAATCAAGACATTACAGCAATATAACTTCTTATTTATCCTTCTTTTTAGTCCTTTCTTCTTTGTATAAATTTTATGGTATCAACGAATTAATAAGAATTTATATTTTCTCAATCATTTTAATAATATTATTATTAAACTTGTGATGAATAGAATCTATTTCTAATTCAGGGTGAATGATAGTTGAATAACAACAGAAAAAGTACAGAATATTCCAAACATTATTAATCAAATGACTTTTAAATTCTTAGATAAAGAAAAAGATCAACAATAAAATTAAATAACTAATTCATGGCATTTAAGTGCATTCTCGTAGGAGATCATTGTGTTGGTAAAAATAAGCTTGCTGCAATTTGTTCAGGTATAATTCCTCCAGGAGAAAATCCACCAGGTGCTGTTGAGGATCAAAAAGTCTCTATTAGTGTTGATGGTATTAAACATACTATTAATATAATTTCTACTGAGGGGTCTGAAGACTATGCAAAATTAAGACCATTGTCATACCCAGAGACTGATATTTTTATTGTTTTATTTTCTATTATTAATTATAACTCATACAGTCATGTAGAAAAACTATGGAAACCTGAAATTAAAGAATACTGTTCAGATGCACCCATCATTCTTGTTGGCAGTTATGCTGAAGTAAGAAAAAACCCTGAAAAACTTAACTCTTTAGCTGAACGAGGAATTACTTTAATTTCACAAGAACAAGGAGAGGTGATGGCTAAAAGAATTGGTGCAGTTCAGTACATCGAGTGGAGTGATTCAGACAAAGACGATGTTGATTTTATTTTTGAAGAGGCTGTGCGGGCTTGTTTAAAAAAATCTAATGAGAAGAGTACAGATGATAAAAAGGATAAAGATAAAAGATGTTGTAATTTATCTTAAAGTATAATTATGTGTTTTTTTATTCTTTATAATAAAAAATTATTAAATACAAATGTATCTGCAAATGATAGTCATTCTATTTGAACGTCTTTGAATTTTTCTTTGAGACAGTTTGTTTGTAATGTATTATCAGAATTCAATGTGTACTAATAATTATAATTATAAAATAAAACTGAACAACTTACTTTTGCATTAAAAGGTCAATCAGTTGTTGGTATTAATTAAATATTATATTTTATAAAGAAAGAACATGTGGAGTTCATATTATAAAATTGGTTTACTGTCGGTATATTCACTCTATTCAAATTCTATATTTCTCATGTACACTTTATTTTCTTTATTATTTTTTCGTGTGTTACTAAATCTAGTTCATGTTATACAGCTGAGATGCAGTAAAATAAGTATTGACTCATAAAAAAAATTAAAACCCTTTAAAAAAAATATTCAAAGTCTTACAAAAATAAATACCAAATTAATAAAAAAGGATAATTGATAAATCTATCCACCAACGGAATTTCTTCTTATCTCTCTAATCGTTTCATTTGTATTTAACAAATAATTAATAAATTGGTTGTTCTTATTTTTATTATTTTAAACAATAGAAACAATATTTACATACAATGAAATAAGTAATTCAACAATTTTTAATATCAACACATTAATAAAATAAATACAATAAATAAATAGATTAATAGGATAAATTAGATAAAATCAAGTAAATTTAATTAATTTCATTATTTTTGTTATTAAATTGAATTAATGTATTAAAATATCAATATCAATGAAACACATGAATTCTATTTATATCTATCGTTATTTTCATAAAAAAAGAAAGAAAAAAATTAATCAAATATTGTTTTATATAATATTATATATTTATTTTATCATTAACCAAATGAAGAATTTATAAAATGATGAAATGATGATGGATTAAATAAATAAATAAAATAATAGTTTAAATGAAACAATTATCTAAATTTAATCAAAAATTCATGTTTTCATTTTTTTGTTGTAAGACTTTAATTAATAATAATAAAAATAAATTATAAATTATTATTATTAATCTATTTATATATAAAATAACAAAATTCAACAAAAGATTCAAAATGACAAAAAAGAAAGAAACAAAAAGAATCATCACAAAATAATCTCATATTTTTATTCTTCATACTCATTTATGTTAATGTTTTATATTACATTATTGATTAATTGTGTTATCACTGAGGGGTATGATTGTATTCAAATAGGACATGAATTTAAAGGTGGATTTGAAAATGGAAAGGATAAACAATGTGAATCACTCTCAAACGATTATTCATATTATTTTAACAAGGATTTCACTTACTCTGGTTTAGCTTTTAATTGTAACAGAACATATCTTGATGGTAAGTTCACAGTGACAAGTTCATATGATTACTGGAATGCAAATGTTATTGAAGTTATGGATAATTCTCAAATTAATTTAAATGGAAGATTTCATACATGTAATGAATTTATCTTTAGAAAAAAATCTACAGTAGATTGGATTGGTCATGTTTCATTTAAACATTCAATTACATTTGAAACAACACCATCATTAAATCAACCTCAATTAATTATTTGGAAAAGTGATTATATTCATCTTTATAAAGATGAAAAATCTATAAACAAATTTATAATTAATAATCCATTTAATAATAAACGATGTTTTGATGTAATGTCATTTAATAATAATAGTGCATTTGAAATTAATCAAAACCCAAATGACCATTATTTACCAGAAGATTTTAAGAATGGACTTGTTATGTCAGATGGTAAGGCATATTTAATATCAAACAATAGATTAATGAGATTTTGTCCAACAGGAAGTAATTTAGATACAAGTGTTACTTGTACAATGAATGGTAATAATTATAATTTATCATATTCAGGAAGTGGTAGTAAACCATTCGATTATCCACATTGTCCATGTGATGATAATGGTGAAACCGAATGTATTCTTAATATTCAACAAAATTTAAACACAGTAGATTTTAATAATAATATTATTAAATATACAACTCTCAATATTGATCATGATATTATATTATATAATTTTATTTCAGCTAAACAAATTAATGTTAATGATGATATTACATTATTAATAGCACCTGTTTCATCAATCAAAGAGTATACTCAAAAGATACAATTTAATAACTTTGAAATTACAAATAATAGAGAAAAGAATGATAACTCAGAATTTAAATACAATTCGACTACAAATACATTGGAAATAAATGGAAATAATGAACTAAAACATTCATTAAATCCAACAAATAAACCATTAACTTTAATTATAAATGGTATTCTCACATGTAATTCTTTTGTTAATAATTCTGTTTATTATTTCACTAATTCTTCTTCATCAACACCATTAATAAATATTAATAATACTAATGGTAATAATAATATAATGATATTTGATGAAACAATAACACTAAATGGTCAATTATCAAATTGTATTGTTTTAACTGGTAAATCAAATGAAAAATTTAAATGTATCCAATGTAAAAAAGGATATTATTTAAATTCAAAACAAGAATGTCAAATTGATTCACATTGTAATAAAATAAATAAACAAAGTCATTGTATTGAATGTGAATATGGATATTATTTAAATTCAAATAAAGAATGTCAATTATTACCAGATAATTGTATTGTAGGATATAAAACATATTGTTATCAATGTAAAGAAGGATATATTAAAGAAAATGGAGAGTGTAAAGAAATTGATAATAAATGTAATAAATCAGAAAGAAATTATTGTTTAAAATGTTCAAATGGATATAAAATACAAAATAATCAATGTAATGGAGATAAAGAAGATCAATGTTATTATGAAGGAAATGAATGTGTATCATGTTCAAATAGATATACATTAAACAATAAAAAATGTTCAAAAAAAGAAAAGAACCAAAATGGAAAGAATGAAGAAATATATTGTGAAAATGGAAAATACATTAATAATAATAAATGTATAGAATGTACAAAATCAGAAATATGTCAAACAAATGATATTGAAATAAAATGTAAATATGAAGAATATTTAGATAATAATAAATGTATAAATAAAACATGTGAAGAAGATATGATAAAAGATCAAAATGGAAAATGTAATAATAATATTCAATATTGTTCAAATAAATCATATGTTAATGGAAAATGTGTTGAATGTTTAAATACATATTCACCTAATTTGAAGGGAGAATGTATTAATACAAAAATAGAATATTGTGAAGAACAAAATACATATGGATGTAAAAGATGTAAAGAAGGATATTATTTAACAAATGACATGAAATGTTTAAAATGTGATGATAAATGTGAAACATGTTATGGAACATCTACATATTGTATGAGTTGTTCTAATGATAAATATTTAAGAAATGATAAAACATGTCAATCAAATGAAGAATTAAATGGAACATGTTTACAAATATTAGCAGATGGAAGTGGATGTGGAATATGTAATAAAGGATATTATAGAAATGGAAAAGGATGTTCAAAATGTGAAAAAGAATGTTTAACATGTAATCAAAAAGATAAATGTATAAAATGTGGAGAAGGATATTTTATGAGTTCAACAGGAATATGTAAATCAACAACAACAATTAAAGGATGTAAAGGAGAAATAGATAAAGAATATGGATGTAAAGAATGTTTAACAGGATATTATTTAATAAATAAAGAATGTTCAAAATGTGGAAATAAATGTATGACATGTTTAAATGAGAAAGAATGTAATAAATGTGAAGATGAATATATAATAATAAATAAAGAATGTATTCATTATTCAAATATTAATAAATGTAAAGAAACAAAAAATAATAAATGTTCAAAATGTTCATTTTGGTATGGAATCAATGAAGAAGGAACAAAATGTAATAAAGAAATTGTATGGTGGATGATAATGATAATTATCATCATTATACTTATTATCATCATTATAATAATTATAATTATAATTATAATGATTAATTACATTATAAAACGCAAAGAAAAGAAAGAACAAGAGAAAACAACAACAATATTTAAAATTTCACAATCAAATATCAAATTCATAACACTTGGAGATGGAATAATAACAAATAAAAAAGAAATTGAAATAGGAGAAGGAGAAGAAATTGAAGTAAATAAAGAAATTAGAGAATTAATATGTATTGGAAATGAGAAGAAAGAAAAAAAGAAAATACAAATAAGTAGTAAAGAAGAAAATGAAAAATATTCAATTAGAATCAAACCAAATATTATTACAATTGAAGGAGGATATGCATGTGAATTTGAAATATTCATTACAATCAAATGTACTACTAAAATTAAAGAACAAATAATGATAATTAGTAAAACACTTAATAAAACACAAGAAGAAATAATTAAAAGTATTTCAATTAAAGGAGAAACACAAATATCAACACGACTTGATCCAGATGAAATAAAAGAAGAAAAGAAAATAGGAGAAGGAACATTTGGAATCGTATATATAGGAGAATTTAGAGGGAATCAAGTAGCAATTAAAAAAATGAAACAAATTGATAAAGATGAAAACAAAATGAAAGAATTTGAGAAAGAAGTAATGATGTTAGATAAATTTAGAAGTGAATATATCATTCATTTTTATGGAGCAGTATTTATTCCTAATAAAATATGTATGATAACAGAATATGCAAAATATGGATCAATACAAGATTTAATTAATAAAAGAACAAACACAGAAATACCTAATAAAATAAGAATTAAATTTATGATAGATGGAGCAAAAGGAATTTCATATCTTCATTCAAATGGAATACTACATCGAGATATTAAACCAGATAATTTTCTTGTTGTAACACTTGATGATAATATTGGAGTTAATTGTAAATTAACAGATTTTGGAAGTTCAAGAAACATTAATATGATGATGACAAATATGACATTCACAAAAGGGATAGGAACACCAAAATACATGGCACCAGAAATATTAAATCGAGAACATTATAAAA